TAGTGGTATTAGTACAGTTCAAATCCGTATGTGTGACGGGGTGACTTGGAAGCTGAAGGAAGTAAGGTTCGTGGCGTAGTTGACGAAGAATATTATTTCACTTGGAACTTTGGAGGCAGCTGGCTATCGGGTGATCTTGGAGAATACAACTCTGAAGGTCACAAAGAGGTCCATGATGGTAATACGAGGTGTCAGGAAAAATAACCTATACTACTTGAAGGGCAAGACAGTTATATGGGGTCTGGCAGCTTCTATCACTATAGAGGAGGACACTACCAGTTTATAGCACATGAGTTTAGGACATACTGGTGATAAGTCCCTGCAGGCATTGGCGAAATAGGGGCTATTGAAAGGTGTGAAGACCTACAAGATGGAGCTGTATGAGCATTGTGTACTTGGGAAGAAGACGAGAGTGAAGTTTGACACCACTATTTACAATACCCAATGTATATTGGACTACATTCACAGATGTTTGGGGCCCTTTTAAGCACACATCACTTGGTGGGGCCAACTATTTTGTCACTTTTATTGACGATTATTCCAGGACAAATTGGGTATATCCTATGAAGCATAAACATGAGGTCCTCGATATTTTTGTGGAGTGTAAGAAGAAAGTGGAGCTGCAGACATGTAGAAAGGTGAAGACTCTTCGTTCGAACAATGGAGGAGAGTATAAGAGTGATCCGTTTTTACAGTTTTGTCGGGATCATGACATTAGACGACACTTCACAGTTCGTGAGACACCACAACAGAACGGGATGGCTGAGAGGTTGAACTGTACCTTGTTGGAGAAGGTGCAATGTATGATGACACAAAGTGGATTGTCATGATCCTTTTGGGCCGATGCGTTAGTTTATGCAAGCCATCTCGTGAATAGGTTGTCATGCACTGTGATACAGGAGAAGACTCCAATGGAGCATTGGTCTGGTTCGGTAGCTAGTGACTATAAGTCGCTTCAGATATTTGAGTATCTAGCTTATTACCATGTCAGTAATGGTAAATTAAATCCGAGGGCGAGGAAAGCAGTCTTTATGGGATTTAGAGATGGAGTTAAAGGCTTCAAGTTATGAGATCCACAGGACAAGAAAATGGTCATTAGCAGAGATATCACATTCTATGAGGCGTACATGATGAAGCCTCAAGTTCCTCAGGAGGTGGAGGAAGACCAGATAGGAGAGATATTACAGCAGGTGGATGATGATATGACTCTACCCACTCCAGATAGCATTGTATCCATTGAGGCTCCTACAGAGGTAGCACTAGGAGGAGATGAGATGACAGTCGAGCATTTAGAGGATACATTGGATGGTGAGACTCAGGAGCAGGGTCATATTTAGGAGTCTATTGAAGCAAACAGACCTAGGAGGGTGATTCGTCGGCTAGTTAGATATGATGATGTCATGGTTGCATATGCTTTATCAGTGGAGGTCGTTGACAATTTGGTTCCTTTCACATTCAGGGAGGCAGAGTCTAGCTCTGATTCGATTAGGTGAAGGAATGCTATGGAGGAGGAAATGTAGTCTCTTTAGAAGAACGACACCTGAGAACTTCCAAAGCTACCTAAGGGCAAGAAAGCTATTAGTTACAAGTGGGTATATGCGAAGAAGGAGGTATCTTCTATTGGGGATATTTGATTCAAATCCAGATTGGTTGCTAAGGGATACACACAGCTTGAGGACGTTGATTACAACGAGGTATTTTTACCCGTTATGAAGCACTCATCGATTTAGATTTTATTAACATTAGTGGCACTACTGGATTTGGCTTTGATCCAAATGGACGTGAAGACGACCTTTCTACACGAAGAATTAGATAATGAGATCTACATGACATAATCTTCAGGATTGAAAGCTATAGGAAAGGAAGAATTGTTGTGCAAGCTGAAGAAGTCTCTTTATGGATTGAAGCAATCGCCGTGACAATGGTACAAGAGATTCGACGACTTTATGATTGGCCGAGGGTATACAAGGAGCCTATATGACCCATATATTTACATGCACAAGCTACAAGATGGTGAGTACATCTATTTGTTACTATATGTTGATGATATGTTTATTGCCTCCAGGAATTCTTCGGCTATTCGAAAGTTAAAAAAGGAGCTGTCATCCGAGTTTAAGATGAAGGATCTTGGAGAGGCGGAGAAGATATTGGGTATGGAGATCAAGAGAGACAGTACGAAGGGGAGATTAAAGCTTACACAGAGGAGTTATCTGCAGAAGATGTTGAAGAAATTCAGCTTTGATGGTAATGCAAAGGCAGTGAGTACTCCATTGGCTCCCAACTTTAAGCTTTCAGCTTTGATGTCACTTGTTTCAGTTGAGTACAGAGATTACATGTCGAAGGTTCTATATGCCAGTGTAGTGGGAGCTTGATGTATGTTATGGTGTGTACGAGACCAGACTTATCACAGGCCGTGAGCATAGTATCCAGGTACATGCACAACCCTGGGAAGGGTCATTGGAAGGCCGTGAAGTGGATTCTATAGTATATCAAAAGTACCATGGATGTTGGTTTGATTTTTCAGAAGAATATGAAGGCAGAGCAGGATTGTATTGGTTACGTGGATTCAGATTATGCGGGGGATCTTGATAAGCGTTGGTCTACTTCAGGATATGTTTTTACATTGGCAGGAGTATCGGTATGTTGGAGATGTACACTTCAGTCTACAGTGGCTCTCTCTACTACAGAGGCGGAGCATATGGCAGTGACTAAAGCTGTAAAGGAGGCTTTATGGTTGCATGGATTATTAGAGGACTTAGGGATATCACAGGAGACCATTCAGGTATATTGTGATAGTATGTCGGCTATCTATTTGGCAAAGAACCAGGTCTATCATGCACGCACGAAGCACATTGATGTCAGATTTTACTTTGTTCGTGATGTCTTGGATGAAGGAGATGTCATGTTAGAGAAGATCCATACAAAGGACAACCCTGCAGATATGTTGATCAAAGTTGTTTCGGATGTTAAGTTTGGTCATTATTTGAAACTTTTGAATATTCTTCGGTGTTGAGGCCTTTGGAGGCCATTTGAGTAAACTACGCGAGGCTTGATTCATTAGGCAAGAGGATATGTAGGCAATGTTTAGATGCAGCCGGTTGGATTAGTTGGTTTTGATGGGGGACATTGATTGAGCTCTATTTTGGGTTCCCGACTTATTGTGGATTGAGTCCGTTGTCGTGAATTAACTTCACGACATACTAGACACAACAAGTGGGACATTTGAATGATTTGGTGTCGGCTCAGTTTTAGAAAAAACTTCACCGAGGTGGAGAATTGTAAGAGGGGGCCACACCTATGCGTGTGTCTCTTTTCCACGTGAGACAGCCGCCCACACCCACATGATTGCGGGGGCCACACTTGAAGGAGATTCGGAGTTCTCCACATCCGATCCAGACCCGCTCTCTTCAGCTATAAATAGGAAGGGTTTTTGGGGACGTGGGGAAAAAGAACGCATAGGACTTTCGGCTGTGTTGAGGAGATTTTGAGCACTCTTTGGAGCCAACTTTGAGAGAGTTTGTGCATCCCTTTTGAGAGAGAAATTGTGATAGATTTGAGAGTTTGTTTAAGGGTTTTATTTGTGAGACTTTGTGTGATTGTAAACCTTATCTGTATCATCTTTCTCTCTAATAGTAGATCTCCCCCCTCCTTAGCCCGTGGACGTAGGCAACTTGTCGAACCACCTCTATAGGTTCCCTTGACAAGTCAGTCCTAGAACTGATGAGAGGAAGAGTGTATATCCCACTTTGTTGAGATATATCACTGTCAATTCTTGTTTTCTTTGTGAAACAGAGATTTAGTTGTGATCTTATTCTCTTGTTGTGCACCAGAAGTGCTGCCGAAATTTCCGCTGCGCATAACACATAGTTGGGTGCCTGTAGATCCTTGATGGTTTGATTTTGAGTTTCTAGAAATCTAGAATTAGTTACTGTACACCATCGATGGTGTATGGTGACCATCGATGGTTCATTGTAGACTATCTGTGGCTCCAAATTAATTTTTTTAGAATTTTTATGATTATTCACTGTAGACCATCAACGAGGCTCATCGATGGTTCACTGTAGATCATTGATGGTTCCAAGGCTGAAATCAACGTAAATGTTAAATTTTGTATCATTTTGCCTCATAACCTTTGTATATTTATTTTCACATGTACTATATCATCCCAAATAAATGCTAGTACCAAATGAGAGTTTGTCATTATCCAAACAAGAGCTATTGAAAGGACTACATCCTAGCAATCTCCCCCTTTTAATAATAACAAACTTGAAATTTAAAATGCTGAAAAACATGCACATTTGAGGTATAGATAGATACAACAAAAAATAAGCACAAATTCACTTTCATGCAAAAGGAAAAGATATGCAATACTCCCTCTACATCATGCATTCATGAAAAGTGTAAACATGTACAGGTATTATAACAACTCCCCTTTAAACAATGCATCAAATGTTTTTTAAAATTTCAAACCAAATCTGAACATGAAACCACTTGAAAAACACACCTCGCTGAAAAACTTCCTCATGCAAAGAAAATATTCAAATTCCACAAATTTCACACTTGACCTCCCCTTTTGTTGTTATTAAAAGATGAAAAACGCAGCAATGGTTATACTTGATACTGAAAAAATCCAGATAAAAATCATCCAAAGGTATAAGAAGGAGAAGCACATATCAGTTTACATAGAAATTTATAGAAAATATAGCACAAGAGATTAAAATCTAATCATAAAATACATGAATACGAGAAAAATCATATTAAAAATCACACACAAAATAATAAACATGTCTGAAATAAATAGTAAAAAGAACTATACCAGTTCACTTGACAAATTCAGATATGTCAATGAGAATAATGAGCGAGAATAAGGTAAATACGTAGGGCTGTTTTCTAAAACTTTAATGGTAAGGGGTTTTATACAAATAACTCCAAAGGTCAGGGCGTTTTCCGGAGGTTACGCTTTCTCAATCTTACTCACAATTACCACGTATTTATTTAGCCGTTTCGCTAAATCCTCGATAGATCTCAGCCTCGGAAAAAGCCCTAAAAGAGCGATACCGATAGCGCCCTTCACAAACCCTCACCCTAAAAATTTCAATTTTCGCCATGGAAATCGAAGATGAAGAGCCTATTCAGTCTCCATCATTGAAGAAGCACCGATCGCCGTCGCCGGAGGCGGCGGAGGGCGATGCGAAGCGGCGAAAACACCACCGCCACCGCCATCACCGCCATCACCGCCATCGACACAGCAAGAAGGACAAGGAGAAGATTGTTGAAGATGGAAAAGTCGAGGGAGGAGTTCTTGATACGAATCGGATGGTTGAGGATGGGGAATTGGAGGAAGGAGAGATTGTTGAAGAAGGGGAAATTGTTGAGGAATCTGCAAATTTGGTCTGTTTCTTGATCTATTTGATATCTATTTTCAATTATTTTGGTTAACTCTCTGAAATTGTTTAGATAAATTCTAAAAGTGAGTGTTTTGGAAGAGAAAATTTTGATTTTGTTGTTTTTTGTTGCAGGATTCTTTTAGAGAGGATCGAATTTACTCCGATAAAGAACTGAAAGCAGTTGATTCTTCGGTTAAGCATCTTGATATTCCAAGAGGGGAGATTGAAGCTGTTCCAAAATTCAATGGAGCTAATTCAGAAGGTGAAGTCTCAAAGAATATCTGTGCAGAGAGAAAAGAATCAACTGATAAAGATAATGATGTTGGTAATGGTGATTTAAAAAGTCAGAAAAGGTCAATTTCACCAATTTATAAAGAAAGTATCAACGCAATGAAGTACAAATATATGGAAGAAGACAATGAAACCACTTCTGATCATTCCTTAGGAAGCAAAAGGCACCATGGTGAAGTTCATCGAAGGGTTCGATCAAGGTCACGGGATGTTGATTATGATCGGAGCAACAAGGATGATGGGCGGGAGCGGTACAAGGTTAGAAGTCGACTGATCGAAGCAGATAATGGCAGGAGTCACGTTGAAAGGGAGTGGAGTAGTTATCATAAGAGAGGCGATGAGCTAGAAGATAGGCATGGAGATGAAGATTATGATAGACGAAAAGATATGGATAAAGGGGTGCGTAAGGAAAGAGAGAGAAGTTCTAGTTATAGCAGACATGAAAGGCGAGAATCCAGACATAGTGATCGTGATAGAGGAAGGGACTTGACTAAAGAACATCGGAGGGAAAGGGATAGGAGTTCAAGTATTTCTAGCAAGCATGATCGGGACCGAGAAAGGAGAGAAAGAGACAGAAGTAGCAAACCAAGAGATGTAACCAGGGATAGGTATAGAAACCGGGACGAATTAGGGGATGTCATCAGAGAGAGGGAAAGGGATCGATATGGTTATGATAGAGATAGGAGTCGGACTAGGGGGCGGGAACTGGATTTAGATACCGATAGGGAACATCATAGGCAAATTGAAAAGGATAGAGTTAACAATCGAGACAAACAAAGAGATTCTAGGCACTCAAAATATGAGGAACAGGGACAACATAGAGATAGAACGAGATCAAAGGTGCTTTCCAAGGAGCGTACTTCCGCTAGTCATGATTTTCAAGAAGGTAAAAGGGAGTCACTAAGGTGAGCATTCTGTTTAATTTCTTTTGTTTTTTCTTTGTTCTTTTTGGTTATGGGTTGTGGATTTATTTTGATAGGGAGGAAGATGAAGAAGACTATCAAGAAAGAATTGAACAGCAACTTGCCAAACAGGAGGAAGAAGATCTTGAGAAAATTAAGGAGGAGAGCAGAAAAAGGAGGCAAGCCATCTTGGAAAAGTATAAACAACAGCAGCTGCATAAACATATCGAATCTTCACCTGACAATTATCCTGCAGGTAATTTACGTTAGAGTTGTTATTACTTTTCTTGTAGAAAGGAATCTGTTTTAATGATTTTTTTTATCATTTTCATGTATCCTTTCTTACATATGCATCCGTTGTCTTAAATTATTCCAATCTGCAATATTCATGTTTAAACTGCAGAGGACAAGAAATCTCTGGATAAAGACAAAATGTGGGAGACAGCTACTGAGAGTTCTGCTGGTCAAGCTCTTCCAGGAGACCCAGATGTGAAGCAAGATTCCTCTGAAGCTTATGTTGCTGATCCACCATTTGCCTTGGGTAAATCTCCTATAGTTAATGGGACTTCAACCCCTGAGAAGAGAGGTGCCGCGGGGCTTGGTGAAGGTACTCCAAAGGTTAGCATGCTAATGTTATTAATGCTATGTTCATGTAAGATTTTAGTTGTAGATTGATGTTAGCATAGCATGTTAATGTTATTTACGAATTAGATAATGATAATAACTTGTTTTTCATGTCTTTTCTACCAGAGTGAGAGATCAACTGATATGTTTTGCGATGATATCTTTGGAGAATCACCTGTTGGCATCAAGAAGACGGTAAGCTTCGTAACGATACTTTTATGTTATTGTTGTGTGATTAATTTTAGGGTGCCTATCGTATCGGCTAAATTGTATCCTTAGTGTCAGATTGAAGTGCTAACTTCCTCTAATCAAGCTGTCCAGTGCATGAAGTTGCTGCTGTCTTCTGATTTTGTTCATTTCCAATGTTGTTGTAAGTAATGCTACAGGGAATTGCTTTGTCTTCAAGTTGCCAACTTGCCATATATTAAATACTTGTCATGTAACACATACCCTAAAGTTGCAAAGTTGCAAGTCAGACTCTTGTCTCCTGTGTATCTAAGAATTTGCTGCATGTTAGTGTGTTGTGTTCATACTAACGTAAGTTTGTCCATGCGCCATAGTTTACTAGTGATGAACTGTACCAAACAGTATACTCCAGCATTTCTCTTGCCTACTGCTTGTTCAATGTTGTTCTCATTATGCATACCTTATGCAGGGCAAAGGTGATGGTTTGCAGATGGAAAGAAGTGGCCTTCATGACAACTGGGATGATGCTGAGGGTTATTACAGTAAGCTAGATGAAATATTTTCCTGTAATTTATGTTACTATATTCTGGAAGCATCTTTCTTTGGCATTTCATAAGTGACTAGTTGGTATCCTCTTAGGGGCTGTTTGTTTGGGCCAAAATTTTAGGAAACCAACATTTTTGGAACAAAAGGTAGGTTTTGGGCCATTATAGGATTCCAAAAGTTGGGTTTGTTTCAATTTTTTTTAAGAAAAGGTTTCTTAAAAAGAGAGAAAACAGTGATTTTTTTGGACAGCACAAATCCTATCTTTTGGCTTGGAAATGGGCTAGAAAGTTGACATATTTGCTAGCTCATCTTTGCCTCTCTACGATGGTTCTTTTATTATTATTTGGAAATGAAACAAACACGAGTTTTAGATATGCTTTCCTATTCTTTGCTTTATCATTCCAAATCAAACATAAGTTTTGGATTCCTTAGATATCCTAAATTTTTTTTGAATTTGGTTTTTTGTGAGGAAATCCATTTCCATAATTTTATGGAAATGAACCAAACAGCCCCTTAATTTCTATCTCATTCCCTCCCCAGGTTACAGATTTGGTGAAGTTCTTGATGGTCGATATGAAGTTATTGCAGCGCATGGCAAAGGGGTTTTTTCAACTGTTGTGCGTGCTAAGGATCTTAAAGCTGGAAAGGGTGAGCCGAAAGAGGTTGCCATAAAAATGATACGCAGCAATGAGACTATGTGAGTGAGAAGTGGATTTGTTGCAATTTTTAGTCGGTCCGTTTCTTATGGTTTTCCTGTTTTCCCTTTTATTTTGGATGTCTTACATTACAGGTATAAGGCAGGCAAAGATGAGCTGAAGATATTAGGGACGCTGGCTGCTGCAGATCCTGAGGACAGACGGCATTGCGTTAGGTTTCTTTCAAGTTTTATGTACAGGAACCATCTTTGTTTAGTTTTTGAATCTCTTCATATGAATCTTCGTGAGGTTCTAAAGAAATTTGGTCGTAATATTGGGCTTAAACTGACTGGTGTGAGGACATATGCAAAGCAGCTATTCATTGCATTGAAGCATCTGAGAAATTGTGGCATACTACACTGTGATATAAAGCCAGATAATATGCTGGTAGGTATTGTCATCCTTTTGGCATAATTTTGCTGTACGTTGATAATTGATGTTTAAGGTTCTGATTTTGGTGCAGTCTTGGGGTCTTTTCTGCTTGTGCATTCCAGGAATTTAACCTTCATTGTGGACTAATGAATAGCAGTATAAATTTATTGATTGGTAGAGATATTTGCCAGTGAATGCTTTCACTTTCTAAGAAGTGCGAATATAACTAGTGATCATAGTTAATAAAATTACATCCCATATATTTTGTTCTCGTCCGTCTTAGTTTAAATCTATTCCAAAGCTTATCTCATCTTTCTACCGCAGAAATTATTTATTTATCTTGTCTCATCAACTTTTACTATATCAATCACCAAATAACACACATTTTTTTCCCCAATCACCAATAGCACACTATATATTTATGTACTACTATACCTAAATATTGGTACCTGCGTGTGCTTGTACTTGAAAGAACTTGCATGATTGGTTCATATCACTATAACTAGCATGCAAATAATTAGCATGCACTTTAAGAGCTTTCTGTACCTGATGTCGTGACATCCCTTTTCAGAAGCTACTCATTTCAAGCCCTGAAACGATTTCTTTCCTAATCATAACTTTTTCCTCTCCAAACAATGCTCTGATCTCGCTTTTTTATGAAGGGGGTCCTGCTGTTTTTGTTTCCCATGGCACTGTTTGTTGATTGCTCACTACATCTTGCCAGAAATTGGCTTCTGTTGTTTCAAGTTTGCAAATACTGATATCTTGTTTTTAATTCTTCTATCCTGAGTCTCTTCTTTTGCGTTCCTTGATTACATGTTTGTGGCACTATTATGTAGATTCTTCTTGTTTCTTAGTCTTCTAGTCCTTGTTATTTCTCGTCTTGCTGTCTTTTGCCACTCTAAGAATGGAACTGATGTACATGATGTAGTTCATAATTTTAGCCATCCTTTCTGGTCTGATGTACATGCTGTTTTTGTTTCCCATGGCACTGTTTGTTGATTGCTCACTACATCTTGCCAGAAATTGGCTTCTGTTGTTTCAAGTTTGCAAATACTGATATCTTGTTTTTAATTCTTCTATCCTGAGTCTCTTCTTTTGCGTTCCTTGATTACATGTTTGTGGCACTATTATGTACATTCTTCTTGTTTCTTAGTCTTCTAGTCCTTGTTATTTCTCGTCTTGCTGTCTTTTGCCACTCTATCTAAGAATGGAACTGATGTACATGATGTAGTTCATAATTTTAGCCATCCTTTCTGGTCTGCATGGACAAATAATAATATATATTGATGATGAAGGGGATACTATCTGTGACTTCATTCTGCAATTAAATAGACTTAAGAACTGAGGTAATAAAATGACTTTCACGCGATTATCTTTTTATGTATACACGTTGCAACATATACGAATCCTTATCAATAAAAGTAATTTTTTTTCCTTTCTCATCTAGGTAAATGAGGGAAAGAATGTGCTGAAGCTTTGTGATTTTGGCAATGCAATGGAGGTTGATAAGAAAGAGCCCACACCATACTTGGTTAGCCGCTTCTATCGAGCACCGGAGATAAGTAAGTATAAATAATCTCATTAGCCTTCTGTTTTGGAGTTTATGTTCTTGTTCTAGTGACTATATGCTATTTGTGCCTTTTTGTGATTGGCTTCTTCTATTACAGTTCTTGGATTGGAATATGATCACCCGCTGGACATGTGGTCAGTTGGCTGTTGTTTGTATGAACTTTACTCTGGGAAGGTTCTGTTCCCAGGTCATACTAATAATGATATGCTTCGACTTCATATGGAATTGAAGGGTGCTTTCCCGAAGAAGATGCTTCGAAAGGTAACATTACAATCACATATAATCTTCTCATTATGTGTTCAGTTTGGGACATATTGTTATCTACCTTATCTTGCTAGAAGCATTCAATTCCTGGCATTATATTATTATGCGTGCACTTTCATACCTTACAAATGGAAGGATAATTTCAGGAACATTCAGTTAATATTTTCTGTCTGCCTTCTTAATCAGAATTTCTTGTGATGCCATGTGCTTAAAATTTTATGAAAATCATTGTGCCTTTGGTTTTTCTGTTATTACTAATTTTTTATGTATGTAACAGGGACTATTTACGCATCAGCATTTTGATCAAGATTTTAATTTTCACGCTAATGAGGAGGACCCTGTTACTAGGAAGGCAAGTTCTTTTCCCCCCCTCCTGGAAGCTATCTGGCACTTCTTTTTATTGATAAATTAATAGGTCATTTGAGACAAAGATACTTGTATTCATTCACCCCTTCCAATGTTTTTCTGCAGCCTGTAAAGAGACTGCTTCTGAATATTAAGCCTAAGGACATTAATTCGCTCATTTCCGGCTTCCCAGGCGAAGACCCAAAGATGGTAGCCAATTTCAAAGATCTTTTAGAAAAAATATTTGTTCTGGATCCAGAAAAGAGGATGACAGTTTCTCAAGCACTAAGTCATCCCTTTATCACGGGCAAGTGAATTAAGATGCTGAATTAGACTGCAAATAAAATTGAGCTTTGCTTCTATCTTGTAATATACTTTTTATCTAGCCCATCTAATTCTTCACCATTTGTGTCTTATCAATGAGACAATGGCTCTAGAGCATTCGGTTGGTACTTGATGTGGATGAAGGATGGAAGACGTGATCGATCTGGAACCTTCCTACATGACAATTCTTGTCAGTTGTGTTCTGTTTCTTGTAAGACAACTCGCCAAAGGCGTCTTCCTCTTGTAAAACATATTTGATTAACTTTGGAAGATTTATGACATCAAACATTTGTTTATATTTCTTCAGTTACACCTTACTTTCATTGTGATTTCATTTCTTTAGCTGGAATCTAGAAAATGATTAGATTCTATCTCTTAGAAAATGAAATGCTTTGTTACATCTTAGAATAATTTGTTCTTAAATAACTTTAACTTTGCTGATTTCTTTTGCCTTTCATTTTTATCTTTTATTGTGGGTTATCTTGCTGTTACTATATTTATGGAATTTGCTGGCAGGGTAGCCTGCCATATCGACATTACTTAATCTATGCATATTAACTTCAAAAATGATCTTAAACTAGATGTATTTGAGGCATCAAAGAGTCTAACATTTTCTTTCATTCAGGGTTTCTGCGGGTTTCTGAGGCTACCAATTCCATGTTTTAGATGCCACAAGGCAGCCAAACGAAAGGTACCCTGGTCTGTTTGTTGGGATGCTAGTATGTTTGACTTTGACGCCTTTTAGTCTGAATATTGTCTAACTCAAAAACTTTGCCCTTTTACTTGTCTTGTAATTACTTCATAAACTACCTTTGTCTCAAATTTATTTTACCATAATCTTGCTCATGTGGGTTCTTTTTTTGCTTCTTTCTTTCTTTTTTTCTTTTTAGGGGTATTAGATTTAGAACAATGTTGATATGACTTCCACATGAATCCTATCGTTGGAAAATTTGCCAGCTATCTCTCAACTAATAGCTCCATCTAATGTTTTCTTCTGTTAGCATATGCTTTCTTTCTTTCTTACTTCCTTTTTTTGACCATTCTGTTTTCGAGGTCCTTACTGTGAACTCTGGGCTTTCAAATTTATTTTACCTGAAATGTAGTCAGGCATCAGAATATAAGAAGTGCATATTTGAATCCCATATCATTCATTTTGTGGGCACCTTTGTGAATTATTGCTAAATTAATATGATTTTTTAAATCCTCCATCTGATATTTTCTACTCCTTGTCATTTGCTTTTGATTGTTTTAAAGTTACCTACCAACTGAAGCTCTAGGCCTTGTAAGTTAACCTTTACCTTGTTCTAGAAGTTGAGGTTGGTTCTATATTGATGGATGGTAAAAATTGGTTATTTCTCATATCCTGATTAAGCCAAGAGTTGTTTACAAGTCCTGTTTTAGTGGGAAACTCTTTCACACTGATGATTGTCTCTCTCTTAAATTATGTCTTGCATTAATTCATAACTGATCTATGTTTTGGTCTTCTGGAGGCTTTTCCTTGAAGATGGGCTTGCTGGAAGGCTTGTATTTTGAAATTTGTTTTGGTAATTTTTCGTTCTTTGAATAATATTGATTCATTTGATTTATCTATCATTTCATTGATTTTCCAGTTCAAAATGTGTATTATTATGTTTGTATTAATCTTTATTGACATGAATATTGTTCTTTTATAGGGTATAGTTGCTAACTTTCAGGAAATTCAGTAAGTTCTTAAAACTTTTTTTTAAATCTTTGCCACATCTTGAAATTTCCTATCAATATCGTCTAATTTCTCAGCACTTGCAACCTAGCACAGTGTTCTCTTGGGATCAGTCTTTCTTCATCATTGCAGTTGTGCACTTGTCAATATGTTTTGTGTCTGCTAATGTGGAGCACACATGTATATACAGGGTTACACGGAGTAATATTGTAATCGACTGCTAAAAAAATCTGGCTCATGCTCTTTATTAAGGGGTGTTAGTCAATTGAGACTTTCTCATGCAAAATGAGATAATTGTTAAAGTGGAATAATTTTTCGCTAGTGGGATATTTTTGTGGGATAAATAGGAACAATTTTGTGAAGCGGGATATTTTGATAAAATAATATGGGATAATTTTTTATAATCATGAAGTATATATTTATGCATTTTGAAGATATAAATACTATTTATGTATTTTAAACTTACTATTATTGATTGATAATTGCTTACAAGAATGTTTTTTACTATTAAATAGCTTTTGGTTAGACTATAAGATATTGACAATTATTATTATAATGATGGTCTAATGACGGCGATAACCATAATAGGAAAGAAGTAAAGAAAAAATATAAAAAATAACAAAATAAATATGAGTTCTAGTTTTTACCACCTAGTTCAAGCTAAAACTTGGAATAATTTGAGAGACTAGAACTCTCATTTTTGTATAGAAAAATGAAAAAAGAGGGATAATTTTGTACCATTATCCCAATTCTAGTTTTGTTAGAATTCTACTTGACTAACACTGTAAAATTTTGTTCTAGTTTTGTGACTTACCCTTTAAAAATTTATCCCACAGATTATCCCAGTTCCTATTTTAAGTTCTAGGTGACTACCCCAAGTGAATTTGTAAAAGCAGCTTATCTCATGTCTAACAGTCTTGCATGGAATGAGATTGATCCTCAACTGTAGTTTCTCTTGCCTCCCCTTAGGTGCTTCATTTTGCTTCTAATGTAATATAGTAGTAGCAGAGCTGGCCCAATTTTCCCCAACAAATAAGTGAGATAGAGTGGGAGGATGTTGCCTCCTGTCAAATTGGGCAGAACTAGTCAGTTTATTGACTGGGGTTTGTTCAATTGGACATTTGTGTTAAGCATGTCATTAGGGATGGGATCTTTATCAAGTTAAGTCGACTGCATGTGCTCGTTAGTTTTGAGTATCAATACTTGATAATGGATTTGGATGGGTGTCTGCATTAGACGTGGAGTAGATCTGGATGGGCATTGGGAAGCATATGGACAAGGGTTGATTGCAGATAGACCACTGTACTATCACCAAATCGAACGTATTAATCCTGTAATTCTATTGTTGCAGATAGACCACCTTGAAAGATTTCTATTGTTGCACCCCTTGTATGAAAACCTATTGTTGCAGATACCCCTTGAAAAGAGACAAAATTTTCACTCAGGGGATTTATCTGCAACAATAAAAGTAAAGGAGTTATAAGTCCAATCTGGCAATGGTATAGGAGATCTTACCATCAAATTTGGCGATGGTACAGGAGGTCTATCTACTATTAACCTATGAACAACGTCCTAAAAGGTTGACTCTGTAGTTAGAGAGCACACCTACTTACATAGGCACACGATGTGGATTGAGTTTGACGGATAGTTCAAAGCATTTGGGCACGCTGTTAGTGGCTGCTCTACTTAGAGGTCATCGGTCATGCTTTTTTAAAGTAATTTTAGTTTTTTCTCGATTTCTTTTAGAACATTGTCTTGCTCAAGTATCAATTACAACTGCTGAAAATAGAGGTAAATTTGGCTTCCATAGTTGTGAAATAACTGGTGAAAAGAAAAATGATCTACACTGTATAATATTCTGCAATAGGCTAATCAAATTTGAGCTAACTGATCAGAATTTGGTTAAATTTGTCATTCATTAATACCCATATGTTGATCCTTCACAATAGTTACATGAAGACTTTTCTGAGCAAGCCGCTAATGAAATGACATTGAATCCTTTTTTCTGGTTTTGGGTGGTTTATTTTGGGGGTATTGGTTGGTGTAATTTTAGGGTAAGTGGGACAATTTTTGGGACTTTACTTTATATGATGTTATTCATTGGGACAATGGGATTGAGATTTCACTTCAAGATTATTCATTGGGACAATGAGATTGGGACAATCACCTTTGCTTTTCCAAAAATTATCTCACTTTTATACCAACTTTTTCCCTCAACCTCCAAAAATTACCCCTTTCTTAACTTTGGGACAATCATGGAGAAAGTGGGATAATTTTGAAGCATTAATTTATTAAATATCTAGTATATGTTAAATGTATTATAATGTATAATATATCTTAATCTACTAATTACGTAAGATAATAAAATGTTATATAATATTATCTAATATAACATTATTAGTTGTAAAAAGCGGCAAATAGCGCCGCTATCGCGGCGCTAATTGCGGTCGCGGTGCTACACCGCGACGCTTAAGGGGATGGCGGCAAGATTTGGCGGAGAAAACCGCTACGCACTCGAAACGCGCGTAATAGCGGCGCTTTAGCGCTTAAAAGCACTAAACCCGCTACATGATATCTTAAATCTTCCCCGAACCCGACCCGAATCCGACCCGAACTAAATAAACAACAACCCATCTCTTCCCAAATCCCGTCCCGATTCAGTTCTGTGCCCTAGCCGCTTGCGACTCCTTCGACTTTGATTGACTCCTTCCAGCGCTGCCTCCAGTCGATGCCGCCTCCGGTCGATGCCCCCTCTGGTCGACGTCGATGGGGTCTGAAGCTTTGGTGGGTTGGCAGGCTGAGGCGCAGTCGAGGGAGAGGAAGCGGAAGGAGGAGGGGGAGTATAAGAGGGAGTGGTCGATCGGCGGCGGAGGAGGTGAAGATGTTGTCGTTGGCGGATGTGGTGGAACCGCATGAGGTTCGGAGGAGGGTCGGAGCCGAAAGAGGCAGCTCAGCCGCTGCTTTAGCCGGTTAGTGCTGTAAATCTTTCTTTTTTTTCTTTTTTTTTTCTTTTCTTTTCCACCGTCTCAAAGACAAAGGCCAGAGGAGAGAGCCCTAGCCCTAGGGTCGGGTGGGTTTGAAATGGATGGGAGAGAGGAGGCAGAGTACTGGTATTGGGTATTTGTTTAGTTTATATATAGAGTTTGTTTTCAAAAGGTGGAGGAAGAAAGTTTTTGTTATTTAATTAGGATTTTGGGAGAATGAATGTCGCGACTCATGAGTACTACTATTGGGGGAGAGGCAGAGCTGAGTTGTGATGAGTTGGCTGGCATTTGTGATGAGTTGATAACGGTATTTTTATTAAACAGGTATGTTTTTTCATTCTTTAATCTTTATAATTATAGTACTTAGTTAATATTATGTAATTATTACACATCTATTTCATGTTAGGCATCAAGTATGCATTTATAGAATTTTTAGATTTTTATATGATTTTTCTTATTATTTAGAATATTTAAATATATGTATATTTGACCGCTATTTGATTATTATATATCATTATTACATATTAGTTAATAATTTTCATATATTATAATATTAGTATTATGTTATTATAATATTACTTTATATTATTTAATATATATTTTATTAGTTAGAATTAGAATAAAATTATTATTGTCGTATTTTTATGATATAAAATATTGTATTATAATTTAGTGTTTACATATTTATATATTATGGTTTTTATATATATTATATTTTAATAAGGAGCCATGTCATCAATTATCCCATTTAAATTATAGTAATTATCATGATATATCATATTTATTAAAGTATATTTTAATAATAATATAATATTTTAAATAATATTGTATTGAATAAAATAAAAATATTATAATAGTTATATTTATATTAAATTAAATATTATATTATTGAAATATTATAATAAATATAATGTCCGTATAGAGTATATCAATTATTATATAATATATCATATTATTATAATATAATATAATATATTAATTAATAACAACAAACATAGTTACAATTAATTAGTAATTTTAATATAACATATTATATTTTAGTATAAAGTAAAATAATGTATTGTTTTATTATAACACTCTAGATGATATACTAAACCAATTGGATAAATTAATTCAGACTTAATTGATAAATATATATTATATTTTCGTAAGGTGTTACATCATTAGTTATCCCACATGAATTGTCAAATCAAAGCTTCAATTATCCCATTACCCCAACTTGTCCACTTACCCCCCTCAAAATATCTCAAAGGATAAAATTGTTCTATTGGAACAATTATCCCACTTGGCCCCAACTTGTCCCAACCAATAGCCCCCAAGTGATATTCAACTTGTGTGGACTCCTATTAAGGAAATAACTTCCTACCATTCCGTGTTGAGCAATTGTAAACTATTGTTGTGTTGATTTGTATTAAGGAAATAACTTACTACTGTCCCCTGTGTCGAATAATTGTAAACAATTTAGCAACTATCATAGATCCCTGATTTGCATTAAGATACCATTGACAATTTATCATTTTTGACTTGATATGTTTGATGTACATGGTTGAGTGCACAACTTTTATGAATCTTCACATGGTTAGTTTTCAACTGCTTTTATGAATATTCACATGGTTAGTTTTCTTTCTTCTTTTTTTTCTTATTTCTGCTATCTGGAGTATTACGGCTTCATTGTCAGCCTCTGTCAATTATGAATGAATTGTCAACAAAAGTTTCCATTAGGATGTGCTAGTTGTGAACAGCTGAATTGTACTTGAGATCATTACATGAGAGAATAACCTCGCATTTCACCTGGGAGGTTTGTTTACAACTGTAATTGTTATAATATTATTTGACAAATCACCCTCTAGGAGCAAAATCCATTGTGATTACTAGTCTGACTCTTAAGACTCAAGCCATGTGGTGCAAGTTTCACTTATTATGCTTATCATTCTGAACTGGTTAATTGTTTTCTTAGATTAAGCTTGTTGAGTGTAGTTTCTGGAGTTCAAGGTGAGTTTTCTCTAGTATTTTCCATAAATGGTAAGAAGTAAAAGGAAACGTTTGACAGTTTAAGAAGGCTGTTGAATTCCTTAAAAAATTAGGCAGTTGCAAATGGTTTTCAAAGAGTTTGAAGAAATCACTGTCATTAGGTTTTAGTTAACTCCTAGTTGCATGTTGGTCATTATATATAACCGTAACATGGTACTACTTTGGTGTTAGGTCTGATTAAGTGCTTAGTGACTGCTGCCTGAGTGAGTCAAATTGAATGCTGTAGTTCATCATGATCTAATCACATGGATATGGAAGAATGGAAAAAGTTAACTGAGATATTGATAGCACAACTAATCATGCCTCTAGACATGCAGGGTTTTAGATATCTTTTGCAGGTAGAGATATCTGCTGGATGCTCTGCTTCCTGTCTTTATATGGACCATAGGGTTTTTTATGCCACTGAATATTCCATCTGTTTATTCCTCTCATTCTTCGGCAAGTAGCTTCCTTAAACATTAAGGTGTTTGTAAACAGTAAGGTGCCTTAACGTCAAAGTCCAAACCAAAGACTAATTGCTTGGGTATTCAGCTTATAGGATCTGCGTTGTCAATCCTTTATTTGGATTATGGTACATATTTAGCATATCCGATGTGTTCCAGGTTTGGTTTTGTCCTATGCGAATGAGAATTTTGCAAGTGCTAATGACATCCGTTCACTGGTTGAATAATTTGCAACCTTATGAAGGTTTAAACTTCCATTCGTGAAAACGTTATTATTTAAATTTGTTCGGCAATTGCTATGGTTAAAGCTTTTTTCATGAAAATTTGTGAAGTACCATAAATGATTGACAGGTCTTGCATATTTAGCACCCAAGTATTATGATGAACATTGCGGTTATACAATGTTAAAGATAAATTATGCTGATAATGGGTTTTGAACCTGGCATATTAGCTTATGCTAGAAACTTTTAAGTTTGTTTGTAACTTCATTGGAAACTTAACCTTCATCGAGTTGAGAGTATTCTTCGGCTATGGAATGATTCTGATTGTTGTTTAAATATGATTAGACCTTCACATTAACGTGAAAATAAATAGGTTTGGAAGCAAGGCATACGCAATCAGATATTGATCTTGCCTTACATATTGCAACCCATTTTCATCTTCAGATATTGGCTTCTTTTATCTAGTATAAGTAATTTGTTTAATAAGTAATTTGTTTATGCAGCTGAAATAATGTGTTGCAGAGAAATTATTTCAGAAAAATAGTAATATGTTATTATTTTAAGTTTCAGCACTAATAGCACATTAGCTAATCGCATACGGTCTGGTATTGTTTGCCCCTTGGGACTGGATGTTTTGCCTTTTGCTACCTTAGGGCGCTTTGGACGGGCGTAATCGAGATGAATATTGTGGGAATTGTTTGTTGTTTATTTGCTCTTCATTGCCAGGATTTGGCTTGCGGCGTTTTGGACGCGCAGAGCCAATATCAGTGATGTGGCTCGTGTTCGGAGCCGTTACTGACCTGCATAGAGGAAGGGAAGAAAAGGTGTTAAATTTCACAAAATTATGTTGAACTATTGAGTGGGGAGTGTACAAGATTATCATAAAATATTTTTACTGGAGAAACTACTGTGGATTTTACTTACGGCTGCCAAGAATTAAATGTCGTTTGTTTTTATTTATATTTTATAAAATTGTCATGATCTTTAGATAAAAACAACAAACTATTATGTACTTTGTAATTGTCAAAATAACTATGGACTTATATTATAGTATCATAAAGCAGTTATATATTTTTTGTGATACAAACGGCGGTTTTCTACTTGTCTGAATGTTTGTGATAATTTTCTCAAATAGAAATAGTTCTAATAAATTATGATAATTTCATGAAGTATGTGTGTGTCTATATATATATATGAGGTATATGGGTATGCTTGGTACCAAGCATAAAATTTGTGCTTGGTAGTGAGGTGGTATATTATCCTCCACTCATTCAAATGGGGGGATCACATTCATATGGGTTGAATCAACCCATATGAATGTGATCCCCCCATTTGAATGAGTGGAGGATAATATACCACCTCACTACCAAGCATAAATTTTGTGCTTGGTACCAAGCATACCCATATTCCTCATATATATATATGAGAAATATAGAGGAACTTGGTACCAAGTTTCTTCATTGAGCTTGGTAGTGAGGTGGTCAAATCTCACCCCTACATCATGCCTTGAAGAAAGAGCCTCAATCACTATTTACCTACTCCATAAAAGAGGCTCCATCTTCGAGGCATGATGTAGGGGTGAGATTTGGCCACCTCACTACCAAGTTCAATGAAAAAACTTAGTACCAAGTTTCTCCATATTTCTCATATATATATATAATATATATATATATATATAATATATATATATATAATATAATATATGGAAGAAACTATACAGTGAGCCTAGCACGTTCCTCAGCGTGCGCTGCAAGGGTGTAATTGAAAAAAACTCCTACAAGACAATCGTAAATCTCAAAACACCGATGACCATATTTTCCTCCTCCCCAAAAAGCTTATCCTAAATCTCCCTCTCCCCCAAATCTATTCGGTTGGAAGACTCTTCCTCCTCCCCAAATCGAAGGGCCGTTGCAAGCACCACCCCCCCCCTCTTCCTCCTCCGTGAGTCCAGATCGTGCGCGTGGCCTCCTCAGAAAGCATTCATCTAAAGACTCCTTCCTCCTCCCTAATGCGAAATTAGGCGATGTAGCGAACAGTTCCCCCGCGTTCGCTCCTCTCCGCGAGTCTAGATGAGATGGCGCAGCTACGGCGCGAAAAGCGTCATCCAAGACTCTCTCCCCCACAAATCGAAGGCACTGCAGGACCCCCCACCGCCCCTTCCTCCTTCGTCGAAGTTCTAGATCTCGCGGCTCTTAAAAGCTTCATCCAAGACTCTTCCTCCTCCCTAAATCGAGCATCCGAGCAATACCAGATGGAGGCCTCTGAAACGTGTTCGTGAGAGAGTTACAGCTTCTGAAAGATATTAAGGTAGCTGTAAAGTTGATTTTTAGCTATTAATATCCATGTTGAGCGAACTTTTTGCTTGTTACCTCTGCTATTTTTGTAGGCTCCTCTTATGAAAATCTTTAGTGATTTCTCATTAGTCAAAATATCATAACTTCATCAAAACAAGTTGCAGATTGCCATGCCTCACATTAATATTAGTATATTTTTTCATCAACACCACATTAATTTCATGTTTTCAAAAGGATTTACAAAACAAAATATACAATAGTGGACGAATGCTTGTTGTGTTTTCATTTTTTTGTACGAGGGGTAGAGGGTTTACTGTTTCTTGTGGATGGCGTAAGTTTACTACTATTAATTAGTACAATGACAACTTAATTTTACTTAAAAAAAAAAATCTTTGTTAGCTAAACTTACTGCTATTAAATTCTAACCCCCTTAGAAATATTAAATTTGTTATTTTTGAATTTGTTTACTTCTTTAGGAGTTCGGAATGGAGGAAACAAATCCAATTAGTGTAGAGTTCGGAATGGGAGAATCAAGTGCTATTAGAAGTGAAATTGCGGCTAATACTGTAAATGCTCCTAAACCACTACTAGGAATGAAGTTTAATAGTTATGAAGAAGCTTATAACTATTATAACTCTTATGCATAGATCTGTTTACGGCGAGAGACCCGAGTGGGGTGTAAGACAATGATGCGAGTTAAATTATTGGAGGACAAATCGCGGGAGGTCACGGGGTTTGTTGAAGAACATACAAATCATGTGTTGAGTAGTTCAGACAAAGCAAAAATGCACAGATCACATCAACAATTCCATAAAACTCAAAGATGTAAAAAACTTATTGATAGTCTGCGAGAAGAAGGTATGCCTCCTTCCACTATTTCTCGCGTCATCAATGCAACCAATGGAAGAGAAGGTGAATTAGTGACACCACAACAGTGCATTGATTATATCAGAATCCAAAGAGTCAACAATATTGGCCATGAATGCATATCTATCATTCGACATTTTCAGAGTATGAAAGCGAATGATCCAGAATTTTATATTGCATTAGAAGTAGACAATAGTGGACAAATGGGGAGTGTTTTCTGGGCCAATGGAAGATCAAGAGCATCTTATTTGCAATTCAGTGATGTTATTGTGTTTGATGTGACATACAGAACTAATAAGTTCAGTCTTTCATTTGCTCCATTTACTGGTGTAAATCACCATAGACAGTCCACTTTACTTGGTTGTGCATTATTAGCCGATGAACAAGAAGATACATTTGTGTGGTTATTTCAAGAATGACTGAAATGCATGCATAGGGTTGAACCAGGTGCTATTATAACAGATCAGAATAAACCAATGTGTAATGCTATTCACTTAGTGTTTCCAACGACAAGACACCGTTATTCCAACGACAAGACATCGTTATGGTGAACAGTTTCAAAGGTACCGGGGCTTGTGGTATAATAGTTCTTCAATGAACAACGTGAAGGATATTGGCTTGAGATGAAGGAGAAGTTTGATATAAATTAAGTAGGGGATGGATGATTGCAAACAGTTTACAATTGTCGAGAACACTGGGTGTCATGTTATCTGAAGGATACTTTTTTTGCTGGAATGAGATCGAGCCAAATGAGTGAAAGTATTAATGCATTCTTTGATGGGTATGTTAACTCACAGACTTAATTGCATGAGTTTGTGGCACAATATGAAAAAGCAATAACTCATCGTCACTTATGTGAAGCCAATGAATATTTTAAGAGTCTTAACACAAAGCCTGTCATGCTCCTTGGACATCCAATTGAGGTCCAAGTTGGAGAAATGTATACACACAATATGTTTGATGTGTTCCAAACTGAATTCAAAGGATTTGGTACTGAGTTTTGTGAAGAATTGAGAAAAGATGGGGACATTGTTGAATACAAGATCTGTAAGTTTACAGATAGAGGAAAATGTGAGGTGGTTACTTATGATCAGGTCAGTCATATGCAGTTCATTTGCACTTGTGCTTTGTTTGAAACTAATGGTGTTGTATGTAGACATATTTTGTCGCTAATGATGGCTAGACAAATGGATTCATTACCTGACGATTACATCCTACATCGTTGGATTATACATGTTCGACATCGTAACATTGGGGTTGGCAACATTGTATTTGGAAGAAACATGACAAGTTGTGAAGAGAAGATTAATTTATTAAAATCTTGGGCTTTAAGAGCAAAATTCAATAATACGCTCGAGCTTGCATTTGATTCAGAAGAGAAGATGGCATGTGCATGCTATAGATCTATACTTCTGGATCTTGCATCTCCTGTGCTGTTGATCAAGGAAAATTTATGTAATATATATTGTCACCTTGTCTGATTGAAGATGTAATTGGCATATTCATTTCTTGTCATCTTGGTTATTTTTATTGACTGTTAAATCAAGTCTAATTGTTGCTAATGGTGGTCAGCTATGGCTGTTCTTTTTGTTACTATTTTGATTTGGTGGATGGAAGCTTTTTATAGGCATGAAATAGCGGTTTGGCTGTTCTTTTTTGTTACTATTTTGATTTGGGGGACGATTTTTAAAGGCATGAAATAGCAGCGTTCGGTAATGGTCTGCTATGGAATGCTTTGGAAGATGCTTTGGTGGATTAACTGTTCAAGGCACGCTTTGGTGGATGCTTCTTATAGCATGAAATAGCGGCTCAGTAATGTGTGCTTACATTTTATGGAGGAACCGGTTCGAGAGTAGTTCACGTGCATGAAATAGCGGCTCAGTAATGTGTGCTTACATTTTATGGAGGAACCGGTTCGAGAGTAGTTCACGTAATTCCTCCAACTACGTACTCTTGCTTCTGGAACCCGGATTACTACATCTTCTCTCTTGTTTGTGAGACCCAATTAAGCATGCATACGGACTTAATTTGGACGTTCTTTTTCGGAGGTCGACACTCCCCATTTCCCAGCATAACACTCTCTACCTACCTACCTACCTAGCTAGCTATCTGATGTTTTTGCTGTCTTTGAATTTGATGTCAAGGCTTCCCATTGTTGCCTCTATAAACACGTACTTTAAGAATCGAATCGAATCTTTTTTTTTATCTCCTCTACTAACATCTATATACGTTAAGAATCCAATCCTTTTCTTCTTTCCTACTTCATCAGTTGTTCTAGCATGAAACGCTCATGCTCCTGTATACAAGACAAGAAAACAATATACATATGCATTTGCAATATACACAACAGAGTGAATATCCAAGAATGTTCTCACAATCACATACTTTTTGCATACTATACATATTACCAAGATACACAATAGAGTGAATATCCAAGAAAGTTCTCACAATCACATACTTTTTGCAATTTAGAAAAAAAATAAATACTGCAACAATACATACTACAAACACTAATATTGTAAACACTGAACCTAATGCAAAAGCATAGATGGGGGAAATAGTAGTTCTTGAGCTGGATGCTGAATCAGGTGACTGGACACTGGACATAAATAGGTGTCTGGACACGCCTTGAGTTGGATACTGAATCACGAGCGATGATGTGCTTATCCCATTCAATCAAAGCCTCTTCGTACGTTGCATACCTTTATATGCGGCATTTGGGAATTTATCAACTTGTTTTTTGCATTCCTCCCTATTATAAAAAATGCCACATCGTCGACCTCTCTTCATAATATAAAAAC